GTTGCATCAGATGCAGTACATACATGCAAGGTATGGAAAATTACAAAGCTGTTTCTTTCTACATCTTTTTGCCCTGCTGGAAAATGTCATGTGGTGAATATGAGCAGAATACACAAATTGTTTCAAGATGAAAAAATGTTCTTTATTGAATTTCCTATTCACTGGAAAAAAAATAATTCACCTGCTTTGGTACTTATATCCTAGACTTGACAGTTTCCAGTGTACAAGGCAGTGCTGCTGAAAGGACAGAAGACAATGCTGGTCAAAATAGTGCCTTTGTTGACAGCCTTAGTAGCTGGTTAATTAATATTTTGGTTTTCTTTAAAATGTGTTTCAAATTTGCACAGTTTAAAAAAATCTCAGAAAGAGAGAACAAACTTCATTAATTTATAAACAATGTATAAACCAATCCTGAGAACTGTGAAAACCTGGAACATTTAATGAGGTAGACACACGTATTCTAAAAGCAAAGGAGTAAAAGGAGTAGTGGAGAAAAACATAAATAAAAGGAAGCTATGCAACATCGAAAAGGTTGGAGGCAAGTTCTGTGTGCAGAAGTGCTCCTCATTTTTAATCCCTACTACAGCTAATGGTACTAGTGAATGTTGGAAATTAGGATTTAAAGACTTGTAATAAAATATTGGAACTAATTTGCTAAATTAAGCAAGGCAGGTGCTGTAATAAACTATTGTAATTAATTTGCTAGTTTGGGCAAGGCGCATAGGTACACTTGAATAATCTGTAAATGTTAAACAATTAAAAGTAGAGTGTGCCATTCAGATTGGAACAATGTAACCCTGTCTCAGAAACCCCACCTAGAGCTGACATGTAACTGCTGTTTGAAGAAAAGCCCGCCAAAAGGATGAGATCATGAGGCTTTTAAAAGATCCAATAGGAGAAAAGTGCGCCAGGAGACCAAGGCTTCACGACTTTCAAAAGACCCAATAGGGGGAGGACATGCACCCCAGCAACCCAAATGACCCAATGGAAAAGAGCAGGACAACTATCTGACAGGAGGAGATTGGTTAAAGACGATGGCACAAGAGTATAAAACCCGCTGCTTTTTGGAACTCGGCGTGCGTGTGGCAGAATTGCAGCTCTCCATGCACCCAGCGCTGCTTTGCCTATTGCTTCCCACCCTAAATCGATTGAACCCAAATAAATACATATATTTTTATAAAAATTGGCTTTGTCTGATTATAACAGACTGATCTATTATGTACCACTTATTTTGTAATAGTCTTCATTCTACATAGGGCCTTTTTCCAGGTGGTTGCATTTATTATATTTTTATTCCTACAAGAACACAGCATAATAATTCCCTAAATTATTTCTCAGCAGGTCCAGATGATGATTAAGGAGTAGGAGGACTGACAGAGATTAAACATTTCAGAAGGAATCTCTTAATGGTCTGAGAGCATGGCAGATGCCTCCTAATAATTCCCACTGTTATGGTCTGAGATTTGAGAAAAACACTAACCACTGGAAACAATCCCACTGATGGATTGCTGATGACTATGCAACCACAGCTCCAGCTGGGCATAATATGTTAGCAAACCACATATTTGTAATAGAAAGTGCAATGTTGTATTTCTCTTACTGACTGTGCAAGCTTTTGTCCTTTTCATACATAGATATTCTGAGAGAGAACTGTTCTGTTCTGGCTTACACCTAACACTTATTTCTACCCACCTATGCAAAGCAGGTATGAGGTGCGGAAACAAACTCTACCACTCAGAAAGAGTTATAAAGCAGGCATGTTTATTCCAGCCGGGGTGCAAGGGGATTTCTCCACAAAGCTTGCACACCGTCTCTGGCAAGTAGCCAGATATTTATTACAACAAAACATACATATTCATTAGGAAGGGCTGAGTTGTTACAATTAGTTCGGGGAATAGGTGTAATTGTTAGAATTATTCAAGGAGAGAAGTATGTGGTCCTCTTCACGGTGTCCCGCTGTTAAGCAAAGTCCAGATGTTTCCTTCCTCTTCATGAACTTTTCAACTTTGCTTCCTGCACATGCTCTGTGGCCCTTTGGTTCCTCTCCAGGTTGTAGACTCATCTTTTTACCTGTTTGTTTTGCTAATTGGAACTTTTGTGTCTGTCAAGATGTCCCAGGAAGTAAAGCCCTTTAGCTGGTATGGTTCCCCCTTTATCTCAAAGACAGGGATTAGTTTACTATCTATCCTGTTTTCTGTAAGAATGTTATCTACTTAACATTGCCTGAGGGCTAGCATTTTTTAAGGGGCCTAACAACTTTGTCGATATTTTTTTTTTGCTTTTTTTTTTTTTTTTTCTCTTTGCTTTCCAGATCAGGTATGTGCTTTCCAGATCAGGTATGTGCTTTCCAGATCAGGTATGTGCTTTCCAGATCAGGTATGTGCTGGATATGTTTTGATGTGTAAAAAATTTATTTACACTCAGATGTAAATGATGGCACGACACAAAATTCCATTATTTTAATTGCAAAGCAGTGTTGAATGGTGTTTATGGTATTCAGGTGGAAAGAGTAATTTAAGCGGAAAACAAGATATGTATACAATAAGCATTATAGGTATGTATTTACTTAAAGTGTATTTTAGGTTATTGAAGCTTTTTAAAGTTTCCTTCCCTCAGTGAAGTATCTGGACATCTCTCCTTCCAGTAGCTCTCTGCATATTATTGTGCTTTCCTCAGTCACCCTTCTGCTTGTGGAGTTGTTTAGGACTCTCCACATTTATCTTAACTCTCTGGAGAAGTACAAGGCTTCCTGCTTTTTGTGGAAGTCTTATTGTAGCATGACACTGGACAACAGTGTCTCACTCTCCTAGTCCCAGTCAAGTACTTCTGGACCTTAACATAAGTGTCTTGGAATCCCATCTGATGGGGAGATCATATTTTCTCTACCCTTTCCATGTTCACGTTAGAGAGCTGATATTGTCTCCAATGAAATATACAAATCACTAGTCAGCAAACATAGATCATAATGAATAAAAAACCCTTTTCTCTGTCAAGCTAAGACTTATTTAGAAACCTTAAATTAAGCCTCACAGCCCTAAGGAAGGCAATGATCTAAGTTCCTTTATTTTGCAGTGAGGCTGATTGTGGTACCAAAAAGTTCAGTGTCTTCCCCCAAGTATCAGTCAGTATCAGGGGCAGAAGGAAAGTTGGCCTCCTTGAGAAAAAAAAAAGCTGTCCTTACTGAAGCTACAAGCCTCAGTCTTTTTACGCGGTCTAAGAAAGACACTTTTGAGGTTCCTGGGTCTGGCAAAGTCTTTACCTCTTCCCTTTTGTGCAAGCTGTAGACTGTAAAGTCTACTTCTTATGTCTGGCATTTGTGGACTGCTGTTTTGAAGATATTGAGGGGGTTTTTTTGTAACCTTTTAGTGACAACAGCCTTTCATTGACATGGATGTTTTGGAAAGAATATTGATTTACTCCAAAGTGTTTGTAAGTAGTACTGTTTCACTGTATAGAACTCAGTCTGGTTTTGCTGAACTTCAATATTCTAAAGGCATCGGGGTTTGTTTCAATATTAAGGTGAAATAGATAAAAGAAATGTTATTTCTTACTGTGGCACCCATCACAGACAGCTTATGTCACATGCACCATTTGTTTATCAGACAGAGGACACTCAGGCATGCCTGTTGCAATTACTGAATTCCCTTATCCAAGTACAAATCACTGTTTATTCATGGTGAGACACACTTAAGTGGTCTGAAGACGCAGCATGCTGAGCTGTGTGAATAGTGTGCTGATTTCTTTTAGGAAAAGGAAAATGGCTGTTAAAACAGCTGCAGGCCAGTCAGCAGTGATCACTCTGGAGGGACACATGCTGCACCAGTAAAACAGTGAATACTTGAAAAACCACCTGAGTCCTGTGAAACTTTCATTCCTGTTCATGCAGGGAGGTTAGCTTTTTTCCTCTTATTTCTTCCATAATAATTGAGAGCCTGTACAGGATGTCAGTTTTCAATCAAATAAAGTTGAACTAAAGGACACAGAGCTTGCATTTTCATTATGAATTTTCAAACTCTCCCAAAGCCCAGCAAGCTTAGTGTTTGATGGAAAAACAACTATAATGACTATTATTAAGTCTTATTATTATGATGGCACCCAAGAGCCTCAGCCAGGACTGAAGCATCTTCTTCCTCTCTCTCTGCATCCCACTGAGGAGACATAAAATAGCACTGAAATTATGCCTGACAGAAAGAACTTGATGCCTACGCAATGCCTGTCTCTTCAACCTGCTTCCTTCCCACCTTGCTATTCAACATGTTGTGCAATACACCATGACTTCCTCTTGTGATCTCTCTCATGATGATTATTCCTTTATGAGTTTAATTTTTTTTCAGTTCATTTTCTCTCATCCCATTTTTGCCTCCTTATTTCAGGGACCTACATCCACTTCATGCTCCCTTACACCACTGGTTTTCCATTTACCCTTAGTCCTTTTCTTTCCTCATCCTACTCTCAGGGGCTCTTCCATCTTCCCTGTTTCTTTCTTTTGTACTTTCTATGCCATGTGCATTGGGCCAGATTTCCAAGACAATGTTCAGATCGGCCAGAAGTTGGAGTTATTACATGGCCTTTCTGGTGCTGTGTCTGTACAAAAAGAGGAACTAAGAAAGGAAATCAAGAAGAGCAATAATCCAGCCTGATCCTGTGTCACATCCCTCTCAGACAAGGGAGACAAGTCACTTAGATTCATAAATCCCCAACAGAGTGGACAACAGGGAGATAAGTCTCAAAGTCCAGGCATTTATTAACTCCCCACAATGTACTAATTGGATACACAATAACTGACTAAGTATATAGCGAGTTATGGCAAGCAGTATAGTATGCCTTGCATTGCTTAATGGTAGCGAGGGAAAGGGGGAAAAATAAAAAGAGGGAGATAGAATAGAGAAATAGAGATCACCGGTCTGGGTTCCTTTGTTGGTCCTCTCTGAATTTGTCAGGGATGCATCGGTGTTCTTCACTTCTTTATTTCTTCTTTTTTCTTTCTCCATTTCACTCCTCATTTTCCTTGGGTCCATCTCCTAGGTCGACCCATATACCTATGTATCCCATGTATGGGGAGGGGTAAGGTACTTCATGGGATGATGTAATTAGCATGTTCTTACTATTTTTTATTAGCATATTCAGGGGTGTCCACTTGTTGTGGTTTAACCCCTGCCGGGACCGTAGAGCACGTTGCTGTTGCCCCTCCCCCACCCTCAGCTGGTCAGGCTGGAAGTGAGACACAAAAATAAGAAGAATTTTAATACAGCAGTGTGATAAACAATCTGAACAACAACACTAGCAATGATAACAACAATAAACAGTAATAGCAGTAAACAAGACAAAAGATATACAGAGAAATACTGCAATGGACACAGACAGCCCTGTGCTTCCCACAACCAAAGCCACAAAGGAAAGGAGTTCCCACGCTGCCACACTGGACCTGATGTCAGCATGGTATGAATATCCCGGCTGGAGATCCCTTCCCCCTCTCTCTCTGCTGGGGAAACTTAACCCTATCCTAGTTGAACCAGGACACCACTTTAATACGCATTTAGGGGATAATGAAGCAAAGGTCATTCACTGGACAGATGGCCCTTGAAACATTCCAAGATGCACCAGAGTAGAACTGTCCTGCTTTCACAGGACACCCTCCTCCAGCTGCATCCTGCACTATCCAGGCAGCCTAATTCCTTGTCTACCTCAGGCTGTTTTTTCTCACAGGCCTCTTTCAGGGAGTTGCAATTTGTCTTACATCCTGATGCCAGTTCACTGCTCCATGATCACTTCATTTTCCTCATTTACATCATTCTCTTATCCCCTGTGGGTAATTTACAGCACACTGCTTATCTTTTAATCTAGGATCAGAGTGACTGAAAGCAGGGAAATTCTTATTCTATAAAATTTACACCATATTTCTAATTAATATAGCTATTTCTCTGATGGATGTACTTTATGGTCAAATGTAGGAGTAATATACTTCTATAGACAACTGTGATTCAAGAATAGAAGTGTCACATGCCCAATCCCTAACTTCCAGGAAAATCACACTCCTCACTGCCAACAGCTTCCCCACTGCCCCTGGAAGTCCTGCCCCTTCTACAGTCATGTGTTCTGTTGACTTTACCTCAGTCATTTTTCAAAACATCCTCCCCCACATGTTTACAGGTTGTTGTTTGATTCATCAGTTGTCCCATTCAATTTACCCAAAAGTACATCAAAGAGGAAGTCCCTTCCCATTTCAGACAGAGAGTCACCTTTTGTTTCAGCTACCATGTGTCAAGCAGATTACAGAATCACAGGATGGTTGAGGTTGGAGGTTGGAAGAGCTCTCTGCAGATCATCTTGTCCAAAACCCCAGCTCAAGCAAGGCCATCTAGAGCAGGTTACCCAGGACACAGCCTGACAGCTTTTGAATATTTTCAAAGATGGAGACTCCACAATCTCTCTGGGCCAGTACTCAGTTACTCTTACAGTAAAAAAAAAAATGTTTCTTAATGTTCAGCAGCAACCTCCTGTGTTTGAGTTTGTGCCCATTGCTTCTTGTCACTGGGAATCACTGAAAAGAGCCTGGGTCCATCTTCTTTACATCCTTCCCTGAGATACCCTTTTCAGTGAAATCCCACCTGAGACTTCTCTTCTGCAGGCTAAACAGTCCCAGCTCAGTCAGCCTTTCCTTGTAGGAGGAAATGTCAGCCCATTTCTCCAGCCTGTTGTGGTTCCTCTGGATGGCAGCACAGCCCTCTGCATATCAATAACTCCTCACAGTTTTGTATTAGCAAATCTGCAGAAGCTACATTCTGCACCATCATCCAGATCATTAATGAAGATGTTAAACAGGGTCAGAACCAGATCTGATCCCCAGTGTACATCACTACCTACTGGCCTCAAACTAGACTGTGCAACTGATCAACTACCCTCAGGGACTGGCTGTTCAGCCGGTTTTCAGTCCACTGTCTGCTCATCCAGCCCATAATTCATAATTTTCTTTATGAATATCTTACAAGAGATTATGCTGAAAGCCTTGTAAACAATATCCACTGCTCTCCCCTCATCTGCCAAACCAGTAATTTCCTCACAAATGTTTATCAAGTTGGTCAAGCATGGCTTCCCCTTGGTGAATTCATGTGGACTACTCCTGATGTCTTTCTTGTCTTTAATGTGCCTGGAAATCATGTACAGAATTAGTTGTCTATTACCTTTCCAGGGATCAAGGTAAGGCTGACCTGTGTGTTCTTCTCTGGGTCCTCCTTCTTGCTCATTTTGAAGATGAGTAGCATTTCCCTTTCTCTAGCCCTCACGCACTTCTCTCAGTTGCCATGAGACAACTGAGACTGTCTCAAAGACTGAGAGTTGCCTCACAATGAATCAGACAGCTCCCTCAGTACTCGTGAGTGCATCCTATTAGGGTGAAGGGTATGTCTGGTTTGCTAACTATTCCCTGCCCTGATCCTCTTCCAATGCTCCAGTGGCTCTGACCAGTATGAACTATTTAAGAATTCTCTGTTAGGATGGGAAGAACCCAGGCCTAGAATATCTGGCTTTACCTTTTGGAAACGCCTGAAAATAAGACTGTCCTGTAGAAAACAATATTGGAGCACTGTAGCAACAAGCGATTGCGGTCTCTCACGCTCAAGTGCTGGCAGCCCTGGGGACAGGATGTGTGCAAGCAGTCTCCACTCAGGACGAGGACACCTGTACCCAGCCGGCTTGCCCAGAGTTGCTCACACTGACACAGAGGTTGAGCGACATCAGTTTTTGAGCCTCTGTCCACACTACCCGGGGTCTTAGGAGTAGGAATCCACTGAGGAGTGTGCTGGTTTTGGATGGATCTCGTTATATTCTTCAGGTATGATTAATGTCTCTATCCTGTCCCATTTCTGTGAGTCTGAGTCATCAGGATTTAGCTGCTGTTTCTGTTTCAGATATGGCTGTCCTGAGAAATTGCAGGAGGATGGGTGCTAGGATCTTCGTGATCTGCTGCTGCAGGTGTCAGCCGCACAAGCCTTTTTTATGTCCTGCTGGCATTTTGTACCCAGGTTTTCACATTCACTGTCCATTCATATTAATATATACATCTTAATTTTACAATTTTCCTAAAAGATTCCTGGGTTTCTGTTGTCTAATACATCATAGGCACTTTGGTATCTGCTGAGAAAGAAATGACAGCTAACATTTATGATTCACAGATTTTCTTCTCAAAAGTCTCCCAAGATTCTGGTATTGCCCTTAAGTATTTTGGCAACATAGTAGGATTGTAAACTCTCTACTTTCCTGGCTCATAATTACACCAGAACTACAAAATAATGCTGTAGTTCACTTCCTTCTATGCAACCGTTTCACTTATAAATTCTAATCAGATCCAAATTTCATGCTCTCTAGTTCTATTTTATTGGATTCTGCTGAGCTTTGTGGTGTAACTTTCTGCTTTCTTATTCTCCATTATTCCACTTACATAACCCTTTTTTTATCCAAGACAAACTGGAAAAGAAATTGCTAGGAAGGAGGAGAGAGACTTGTCACTGATAGGACAGACAGAAAGAAACCTGTTGAGTAATGGGAAAAAAAAATTTCTTTTGCATTTAAATAATATTCTAAATACCCTTTCTGTGAGTTGTCATAATATTCTTTCATTGACTGCCCTGCTACATATTCATCAAGTACTTCCTCCTGACTGATCAGAACTTTATAACAGATGTCAGCTGATATCAGATAAAGACCTTGATCCAGGTTCTCTATGCTGCATTTATAGGAGGGAGCAGCAGCTGACTCTCTCCTGAGACTAGCAGCCCAGTGATCAATGCCAGATAGTTAATGGGTTCAGTTCCACAAATCACTGTTATGAGACACTCAGAATGTTCAATGGAAAACTGATCTATACAAGAATTGGGCAGACAAGATACTTAAGGACACAGAATTCTAAGGGAAAAGAACACTTAAGGATAAACTGCACAGCAAATGAAATATCACATAGTTCAAACTGTTTAATAGCCTAGAAACTTATTTTTATATGATGTTCTCAAGACAACAGTAAAGAGTAGTCTGTACTCAGGAACTAGAGGCCCCCATATTTTCAGTCAGATCATGAAGTCATAATCAGTTATAAGTTTATCATAAATGTTCCAGAACAAAATCACTTTAAAGAAATCTTGTTTTTCCTACCTTTTGACAAGGAAAAAATATTCACTGTTAATTTTTAACCCAGTAAAAATTAGCATTATCATATGACCATTAGAATGTAAAAAAAAAAAACCAAAACCAAACAACCAAAAAACACACAAATGAATCATTGTATTTAAACAAATAGTTCCAATTGTTCTGAATACAGCAAACCCATTAATATTTACTGAGCAGAATAATTCAATCTTTTATTCAACTGTAGTCCTTGTTTCTTTAAAGCTCTTTCTTGCTCCCTTCTGTAACATGCAAGAATCTTGGTTTGCAAGTCAGATTGCAACTTGGCTTCTGTTCAGATCAGTAATTCACCTTTTAGTGGCTTCAGAAAGGCGATTTCCACTGCCAAAGCTTCCCACCCTACCAGGGACATAGTAAATGGCTTTTAACTGAAGTGATGGCATAGACATTTGTATTGACAGACAGCTACTGTACACATGTAAAAAATGAAATGCTGGAAAATCAATTTAACTTGTGTGCTGAGGATCTTTATTAACAGGGTATGTGGGGTGCTGGTTGCTGATCAGGCTTCTTCAGCCTTTTCTCTTTTTTCCCCAAACAGTGCTGTCCCTTCTGCACCTGCTCCTTCTCTTATTGCTGCAGGACAGGGCAGAAAATGGAACAGATCAGAGCACAATTCTCTCTTCTTCCTCCTCAGTCAGTCAGATGGAGAATTTTGTGAATGGGAGCTCCCTTGCAGTCTGGAGCAAAGCCCCGAGGCTGCCCTTGTAACACTGCTGTGTCATCCTGTTGGGCTCAGGGCCCCATAGGTGGGGTCTCTCACACTGCGGCTCACAGCATGCAACTTTCCTCAGGGGTCTTTGGTGGCCTCCATGGACGTGCCCATATCCCTGTGGCATGTTCTAGCTCATTCCTGTCCCCCACTCCACTCTGCCCTCTTGAACTTCCCTCACCCCAAGCACACTAGGGCTTGTCCAGCAGCCTTGTAAAGTGTGGGACTCCAAAACCGCCTTTTACTTTTGTTTATTCTTTATTAATATTTAAAATCTAATAATTGATTATTATTAAAGAATGTTGTATACATTGTATTCTTACTTTTTGGATGCATATATTTAATTTGTATCTCTTTATATATGTATATATTTTTATGACATAACATATAAAAATATATATAATGTGTATCTTTGTATCAATAAATAATACGCACACATAGATACATAGTGTATATATTTTTATATATGAGCCCTTCCTAGTCAAAAGGAAATGAGCTCTTATTAGCCCTTATTAGCTAATAAGAGGTTGTTGTAAGATCATGTGGGTGCCATTTCAAAAAATGGCAGGCAGCCAATCACAGAACACTATGGAGATGTGTGGAGTACAATATCAAAAATAGTGTCCTCCATGCATGTGGTGGGCAGGGGCTTCCAGTGCTGATCCACTTCTGGGTCAGACGAAGGCATGGCTGGTGCTGGCAGACAATCACAGGGCTGCTTTTGAACACATGGGGTAAAATTGTATTAGGAGAAACAGCCTTCAGCCAATCACAGAGCAGTATGTTGGTTATGACGGTTTACAAAATGGCAGCACACTGCCATGAAATGGTGGACAACCCAAAATGATGTCCCCCATGCATGTAATGGGGAGGCCCTTCCTATTGTGTGTGTGCCTGGGTGAATTGGCAGGGGCGGATGGCAATGCCAATAATTCACAGGAGAGTCTGTGCTCAGGTGGGGAGAGGGCACTTTACAGAATGACAGCCTCAAGGACAGAAAGAAGAAGAGGCAAGCCAACCAGATGACCAGAAGAGAGGAGGGACTTCCAGGAGCAGCAGGATAGGTGATGTCACCAGGGGGTGGAGCTCCACCAGAGTTAGGGAATGGGAGGCACCTCTGCTGCTCTGGAGTCAACCTTGTCCTGGTGCTCCTGGGAGGTGCTGAATAAAAGTACTTCACCTTCACCTTGTGAGAATGAGAACACAACTGCATTGTTGTGTTAGAAGTTATGGTCTGATAGTGTTACATGTGGTCTAATGCAAATCTTTTCCTCAGTAATACAATATACTTTTTTATGGAGAAGACCTTGCTTTGTTCAATGATGTCTTGTCTAGAAGGATGTGTTAAAAGAAGAAAAAAAAAAATCACCTTTTCTCTGCATCATACCTGTTCTTGTGGCAGAACAACAAGAATATTGTTTAACTGTATTGCTGAGGAGGGGCAGTTTTGTGGGGACTGATAGCATGCCATTCTGACCACCTTTGGTTCAGAAACATGGTTTACATGTACATAAAAAGTTATACTTAGAACTTTATAATCTGTTCACAGGCTGATGACAATCCCTGTGTTATCTACTTGTGGGAGCTGGATTTGCAATAATCCAGACTCATCCTACTAAAAAGCAGAAAAGAAAAGAATAAAATAAGAAGAAAGACTATATTATATACATCATACATATACATTTTTTTTTTTTTTTTTTTTTTTTTTTTTTTTTTTTTTTTTTTTTTTTTTTTAATTTAGTATGTTCTACACGTTCTGTGAACTTAAAGATTTCATTTGTATCTGTGAAAATTTACAGCAAATAGAGATGGGAGAAGCATCCTGGCCATCATCTTAATTTAGCGAACCTGCTGTGCCACTCTGGGTAAATGAGACATGGAAGCACAAAGAAACAATATATAAGCAATATGCCCTTCAAGCTGAGAAAGTATTACTATAAAAAGGCCAGATTATAGAAGCAGCTAATGACTGTAATAGTTCCCAAGCTTAAAACCAGATGCATACTCAATGCTTTACAATTCTCATATAAAAGCATTTACAGTCTTGCAGAGACATAATTGAAAGGCAAAACAACGAAAGCTTTAATCATAGCTGGAACATATTTTTAAAACACCAGAAAGGTAGGGACTAGCTGGTTGGAAAATGAATAGTAGGAAAAAAAAAAAAAAAAGGTTCCCAGTCAACTCTTATTTTCTCCAGGGTAACTCACTTGAAACCAACTACTTGCCACAGAGTTGCACTGAAACCACCACAACGTTAATTTCCTTTCTGCAAAAGTAACATCAACAGCACAGAACAGCTGGCAGCTGGAGGTAATATTCAGCATGAGGTCTGCAGTGCTCTGGGGCCCAGAGTTCAGCCTCTCTCCTCAATGTCAACTGGTTTAAATCAAAGACTGGCCAGTACAGAAAGTTGTCACCATCTCAGGAGTGCCCTGGGTGAACGAGCTGCAAGGGGCTTGTCTTCATGTGAACACTGACACCTGCGTGTAACTATGTGTGTATAAATGACATGGTGTAAATTTATTAGCTAACGGATCAGATGGGTTATTTCTAGCACATAAAGTCCTGAGTCTGTTTTGCATGTTAGACATGAGTCATGGCATTAAATGACTCATGTGAGAGCAGCCATGGTGGAGGGGTGTTTTCCCTGCATCATTATCAAGAAGACCAAAGTCTTATTTTTATGGACACCCTTCAACAAGTCCAGAGATTGCTTTAGAAACACCATATCTGGCCTTTGAAAATACATTTCTGATTCAAGGACCCAAGCAGATGTATCCCTGGAAAGTGTTAGATTACTGTGTAAATGTCAGAATTACTTTTTATTTCTACTTTCACCATGTGGGCAAAGTAACAGGTGAAGTTTAGTTAAAAGCTTGTGTGTAAGAGGAACACAGAGCACCCCAAGGTTTTCATGCATTTTTTTTTTTTTTTCCCCAGACTGAACAATATTATGAAGAGTTACAACTTTTACATGAACCAATCTTTCCTCCCCTTCTATCCCTAGCACATACTCCATAGGAGTTAGTAGAAAGGAAAATTAGATTTTAGAGAGAGATCTGCAACTCAGATGAAAAAAATGCAAAAAATTCTGGTATGTTTTGTCTTTTTAAAATATTTTCCTATATCTGTTATTTTTTGTTCCTTGTTATTGAGTCGAATCACATCATTGTGAGGAGTATTCAGATTGCTTTGCTTATTAGTGTAAGAGGTTAAAAATGATTACACATTAAGCATTAAAAATGACAGAAATACAGAGCGAACACTTTCAGTCAGTCATTATTTACAAGTTAATTTTTCCTAGAGACAATATAATCACCATAAATGATGAGCTTTGTATCAGTTGTTATTTCTCATAAACTCTATTCAATAAAGGTAATTAAGCATTCTGCTAAGGTATCGCTGTTATAGGTTCTGTCTTTATAAACCATTGTTAGACAAGAATGTAACAAAAAAATATAATCATAAAATGCAGATGTATTTTATTTGCATACATTTTAAAAGAAAGATGTATCAAAATCCCATTCTGACACTGTAGTCTCAATTAAAAAAAAAAAAAAATAGCATGTGCAAAATTAACAGCTGTGCATGCTTTAATTGATATTTCCAGACCTATAACAATACTATCAATTTATTTCAGAAGGACAGGGCTTTGCCAGTTTATCAGTAGCTCCTGGCAGCCATGGTGAGGCTGTTTCTTGATTCCCAATTCATTTCACAGCATAGTTTTGGTCACTTCTTCTGAATCTAAAAGGTCTGTTTTATACTGCTCATAGAGGATCATACTGTGATATACCACTTGTGAGGCTGTCAGGAAACTTAATGGGGGGAGGGGAGAGAGAAAAGATAATATTTCTATTTCATGGAATCATTTAGGTTGGAAAAGACCTTCAAGGTCATAGAGGTCAACCACAAACCTAACACTGCCAAGTCCACCACTAAATCAGTGGCGCCTAAGTGCTCTAAGTGTCACATGTACAAGTCTTTTAAATACCTCCAGGTATTATTATGACTCAACCACTTCCCTGGGTAGTCTTTTCCAATGCTTGATAACCCTTTCAATGAAGAAAATTTTCCTAATACCTAATCTAAATTTCCCCTGGTGCAATTTGAAGACATTTCCTCTCATCCCGTCAATTGCTACTTAGTAAAAGAGACCAGCACCCATCTCACTACAACCTCCTTGCAGGTAGTTGTAGAGAGTGATAAGGTCTTCTCTGAGACTTCTTTTCTCCAGACCGAAAAACTCTAGTTGCCTCAGCTGCTCCTAGTAAGACTTGTCTTCTAGACCCTTCACCAGCTTTGTTGCCCTTCTTTGGACGTGCTCCAGCACCCAAATATCTTTCTTGTAGTGAAGGGACCAAAGCTGAATACAGTATTCAGTGTGTGGCCTGATTAGTGCTGAGTACAGGGGTATGATCACTTCCCAATTCTTGCTGGCCACATTATTTCAATAGCTAGGATGCTATTGGCCACCTTGACCACCTGGGCACACTGCCAGCTCATACTCAGCTGGCTGTCAACCAGCACCCCCGGGTACCTTCCCATCAGGCAACTTTCCAGCCACTCTTCTCCAGGCCTGTAGCATTGTGTGGGGTGATTGTAATTCAAGTGAAGGACCTGGCACTTAGACTTGTTATCATACAATTGGCCTTGACCCATCAATCCAGCCTGTCCAGATCCCTCTGTAGAGCCTTTCCACCCTCAAGCAGATCAGCATTCCCACCCAACTAGGGGTCATCTGCAAACTCATTGAGGATGCCCTCAGTCCCCTTATCCAGATCATTGATAAAGATATTAAAGAGTACTGGCTCCAATACTGAGCCCTTAGGAACACCAGTTGTGACAGACTGGTAACTGAATTTAACTCCATTCACCACAACTGGCCATCCAGACAGGTTTTTACTCAGTGGAGTGTATGCCCATCCAAGCCAGTTTCTCCAGGAGAATGCTGTGGGAAATGATGCTGTAGGCTTTACTAAAATCCATGTAGACAACATCCAGAGCCTTTCCTCCATCCATTAAGTGGATTACCTTGTCATAGAAGGCGATCAGGTTTGTCAAGCAGGACCTGCCTTTCATGAACTCATGCTGACTGGGCCTGATCATCTGGTTGTGCTGTATGTGTCATGTGATGGCACTCAGGATGAGCTGCTCCATAACTTTCCCTGGCACCAAGGTCAGACTGACAGGCCTGTAGTTCCCCAGATCCTCCTTCTGACTCCTATTGACGCATTCCAGGTGGGATACAACTCACATATTAAAATACATAAATTAAAATGTTAACATTTGGACATACAACTGGAGCTCAGTTTCTGAGGTCCCATTATAATCAAATGAGGAGTGAGCTGTGTCCTGATGGACAGCCATGTACAGAAAACCTGTGGAACCTCCTTCATATAGCAGATTTAGAGGCTCTAACTTCAGAGTTGAGCACCACTTACATACTTGACAGAAAAATATGGTATTCATCATGTAAAGGAAGAAAGGAAGGACAGGCATGCCTTCAGAAATCTCACAGAGAAGGATTTTTATTTGCTGGGCACTATGAATTAATTGTTTCAGCACTGGAGGGGAAAACATTGTTCTTTTATGATTGTACAACCAATTTTAAATGTTATACTTGTGAATTGTCTGAATACAGAGGGCATTAGCAAAGACTGAGAGCTCTAGGCCTCTGGCTCTAGATTCACTAATGGCCTGACAGGCATCTGGATTAAATCATTTGAAGTTCTTGTCATGACATTAATTTATAAAATCCCATGTTGTCACCAAAAACCAGGATGAAAACTTATCTACACCAATGTGATGCAGATAAGCAGACACTTCTTTATTGACGGCCAGACGTGTAAGGGAGTGCTCTCACCAACAACACGTGCCGGGCACTAGAATCATACACCTTATATAGAACTTACTCATACATATACATTAATTATTCATACATAAGCATACAACTTGTAAGAAACCGTTAACATATTCTCCTCCTATTCCCGATTCTGCACAGTAGAGGTTAGAAATGCCTAGAAATGGGTCTGGGGTGTAATGTGAGTAGGTGGTCCATGGGTCAGTGGTCGCGATCTCCCCCTGCCGGAATTACCTTTTGCTTAAGGACACAGTTTTCTTGGCAGGTACCTGCAAGCTGTTACGGTTACTTCCCTCAATTCCCATTAATCCTGGACCTTGACAACTACTTGCATTCTTCTAGTCCTATGTATGTACTATAAATCAGTTTACAAACCATCTTGTGTTTTGTTACCTAGGTTCTAACCATTCCTACTAAACAATTATGACCAATCCCCTCGGCCTTGGTACGGGGCTGTACAGGGGATTTTAGAGTAGCAGTCGGTTGCTAGATTCAAAATACAATAAATGTAAAATAAATTATTTTTACTAAAATATCTCATAATTCTATACTTATATTAAAATCAAACACAATTTAATTTCAGTTGATAATAAAATCAGTAACAATATCATCATTATTCTATCTAGGTATATATTACATAAATACAAATATGTTTATTTGTCAATTTTATTAAAAATAACTCTGGAAATTAATATATACTTATTACAGAGTTTATCATTTATTACGTGTGAGAAATTTCACTAGTTTCTAACCAGAGAAGAGCTCACCTACCACCTCCTGGCATGCAAGTAAATTAAGTTCTTTCTCCAAAACTCTAAACTGATATGTACCAAGAATGTGCTGATTACAGTTAATCCAATTCAGTACAGAAGATATCTGAATAACTTTCTGTGATTCCTTCTACTCTAGCTTGCAATTATTTTTTTAAAAAGAAAACCACTACCAACAAAAAAGGAACTGCAGTTTATCCTTTTGTAAGGTGAAGTATAAGAAGCTTTGAAAATATCCAGGTGAAAGATATTCATGGCTTTATCTTTTAACAACGTCAGTGCGTGAGTACTTTAAGTATGTGTCAGGTACAATTAGTTTTAAATGAATCCGTAATGAGTCTAATTACACTCTGCAATTCAAAATGCTGCCTAATTTTCTTCCTAGTCAGTTACCCATTTGCTTTTTTTACCCTCTGTAGTCAGGACAGTATTTACTGCCCTAATTCCCTGAATCATGAGTCTCTCTTTGAATGGAGCTAGTGATTCTTGGCTTGAAAAGAAGCAGGGCACAGATGTACCAACTCTTGAACAAAAGGATCAGCTAGCACATTACCTTTAAGAACTGATAATCAGCCTCTTTTATGTCTTTTAATAACAGTGAAAAACACCTGAATACACAAATACATATTGTCTTATTTGATTATATTAGTTCTTTTCTCTTACTGGCTGTAAAGGTCTTTTTGTCATGTAGCAGCATAAGAACATTTTCAGACGATTGGGGAAAGCATCAGCCAAATCACATTGAAACTCCTCATAACAGTAACCTCTCTGTGTGAAAAGACTTCTTAATGTACTGTGAAGTAGCACTTTGTAGGCTCCACAACAAACAGAATAGACATATGCTCAGCAGGTTTAGAGAAGGAACGGGATAATCTCAAATTTAGCTGAAACACAGTTACAAATAAATAATTTCTTGTATTGAACTGAGGGTGAATGTACAGTTTTAGGCTTGCAAAGAGGTCAAGAACCAAAAAAAAATCAAAGTAGTATACAAATGAAGAACCGGAGAATAACAAAATTTATGCAGAAAAGGTTTATAATCTAGAAGAGAAAATGTAAATTAAACTGTAGAGAAAAAGATAATATAGTAAAAAAAAAAATTTCAGTGCAGAGAGTATAGAAGTCTTCTGATATAAATAAAAGAAGATTTTTATCTGTACAAATTTTGGCATATAACAGTAGTGTTAACACTGCTGTTATTCTGACATAAATTATGATGGAGGTTAGTCCCTTAACTCCTAACTCCTTAACTCCCATACTTATGACATAATGTATATTAATGTCCTTCAGAAACTTTACAGTGACTTTAAGACAGATCTGAATTAAAGCTTAATTTTTGGAAGAAAAAATAACAGCTTATTCTCTTTTGGAAAGTATCTCACTACATATGCTGCATACAGGAAAAATAAAAAGTCAAATAATATGATTTGCCCAAGAAGCTGGGGAATCTCTCTGGGCTAAAAGAGACAAAGAAGTGAAAAGAAAATGCTGTAATTTGTCTTTGGCAGGAGAGGAACAAGTGAAATAACACCGATTTATCTTGAGAGAAGCAAAAAATGGAAGTAGAAGAAGGCATGAAAAAGCAAGAACAAGAGTTCTGAGTAAAATTATTTCAGTTTTTCCCTAGGCTAAAAATAGATAGCTAAATAAACACATTAAAACATTCACACCTTTTTTTTTCAAAAGAAGAAAATAAACCTAATTTCACAGATAAGTGAATTGAGGGGATGCAAGCTCAAGCAAGGGAGGTAGTTACGCTTTAGAATGTCTACTGTGAAAAATTAGATTCTTTAAATCCTGTTTATCTGCTGCCTCATCCTGGAATATAAAAGCTGCTGATGCTGAAATTCTGGTGCAGAAGAAGTATACCAAGGATGAACACAACTAAACCTTGCTGGAATTAGAGGGGGTCTCTTCTGATTGCCTCATTCCAAGGGCTTCCTACCTTAGAAGTAGTTCAGATTATGTTAGAGAGCCAAACTCTGCCCAAAACAACAAAGGTTCCTCAGCTGGCTCTTTTTTTTTTTTTTTATTTTTTTTTTTTTATTCCCAGTAGTTCAGAGACTAGTGGGCTGTGGGAAAACAAAAGGTCTAATTCTCACCTGAATCTCCACCTGTCTCAATTTGGTAATGACCAAACTATGTAGTGTCCCAAGACAGGGCCTTTTTATTTCTCCACATCAAAACTGTTCTCCTTTGCTTGAAAATATTAAATATTCATGGGACAAAGGAGAGGGAAGAGGGAGTACATTGATTTGATCTCTCTGTGGCCCAGTAGTTGAGGCTCTGAACTCTAATAAGTGAAATTTACATTCCTATTTCTGCTCCAAACAACTATTTCAGTAGATTATGTTAAATATCCCGGAATACAGCTCACCTCCACCATAGTATTGAGAAACAAAATATTCTTATTTATGCCAATAGGAGTTTTGCCATGTACCTCAATGGGATCAATAAACCATCTTCTAAAAAATGTCACACAATGTTTCCATATTTTCTATTGACTTTCTAGAAATCATATTTTCTCCCAGATTTCTCTGTCATTCTTGACTGCTGAATATTGGCCCAAGGATTTAATGGGAAAAAAATTCCCTAATGAATGCTGTCCTCATGTAATTCATCTAAACCCACTGAAATCAGACTTGTGTCTATCTGCTTGTTAAATAAGTTTATGATGATGGAGTCAACCAGAGGAAGCTAGTGCGTCTGAGTTAACTTAGTGTGCTTAACATATTTTTCTCAGCTGCTAGCTTGTTGTCTATCATTCAGGAAAAAAACATTCTGCTGAGCTGAATACACTTCTTTTATTTTTTTTTTTTTTAATTTTATCCGTTTAAGTTCATACTACAGTAAGAACTGAGCATAATATATAAAGTACTTATGTGGATCTAGATCTATTCCTGATTTGGTTGCTTGCTTAAATAATTTATTTTTATTACAGTTCCCTACTTGTAAAATACAGAAGATGACAAAATTCTTCTTTGAAAGGTGGTCTAAAATTAAAAAAAAAAAAAAAAAAAAAGAAAAAGCAACAGAAAGCAAAACCGTTGATTAACTCAGAAATTATTGTAAAAGCTTCTCTTTATTTCATAGGGTTAGGTTGTCATCCCTGAGAAGTATGGTTGTAGTATTCTCAGTGTATAGATCATACCCATCTAAAAGCTATCAAGCCACCTATAGAGACAAGTCTCAGTATCTGCTCTGATTTAGTAGAGAAAAACATCAGTGTGAGAAGGAATCAGGATCCTATACTGCAGGCCTTATAGTTGCTGTAAGAACAACTTTCAAAGGAAGATCAGTAAAGTTAATAATGGATCTGAGGAAAAGTGTATCCAAGGTAGCTCACCAGAAATTTGGAGTTTAGAAAAAGTCTCTCTAGCAGATTAGTATTCTATAAAAGCTTTAATTTGAATATGTATTTAGAAAGCCACAGCGTCATTGTTATTGGCAGGAGAACCTTACTCATCGAGAGGTATTACCTCATGCTTTCTTAATGTTAACTACAAAATGTTTGTTTTGCTCATCCTGGTCATGTACGGAGGATGTAACAGAAAGTGTAGGCAGTGATATTTTAAAGCAAGCAAGCTATTTCCTGCATTTTTTTTTTTTTTTTTTTTTTTTTACCATACTTACAGCCATAGGCTTCAGACAGCTTAAAGACTCAGTACTGGAGATAAAACAGTTTTGTTCATTCTGTTGAAGAAACATATAAGAAATTTGCTGATTAATATTCAACAAGCTTGAAATATAGATGCAAAGAGTCATAAATACATGTCTGGAGGGGGCCTGGTAAAGATGTCTAATCCAATTGCTTGCCCCTAAGCAAGATCAAATGCAGCTAAAGTATTTCTGACAGATGTTTATCCAGTCTATTCAAGGGAATGTCAGTGATGGATATTGTACAATATCTCAAGACGAGCTGTTCTCAAGACAAAGAACAAAATTTCAAAATGCAGCCTAGGACCTAAATGACAGCTGTTTGAGAACTTTGTTATATTGGTACTTATCTTGATTTATATTAATTTATGTATCATCTATAGGGTATTGAAATGATATCTCTTTCATGATGTGCTGGCCGGGGGCACTGTGTACGGTGACTGAAGATATATATGGTGTATTCATTTTCAGATAACTGCACTTATTAAATATAAAATCTTACTATCTGACTATGTGGTTTAAGGATAACTCTCTTAAGGATACTATCTTTAGTCATATTAAGAATACATGCTGGCATCTTCAAAAAAGTCCAAATGCTTTAGGACCACAAATGTCATTAAAAGCTAGGAGACTTTGCATTCAGAAAGTTACATGCACATTTTAGAATGGTATGTACAGTGCTCTGTCA